ATGTCTCGTCTCACAAGATCAAGATTTTTATACAGTTAGCCTATTAGCCTTTTTGCCCAACAAGCTATAAGCTCACGAAGGCAGAGACATCTAACTGGCTTCATTAAAGTAATGCCTGCATAAAGCCTAATGCCTTTCATATTCTGGATGCTGAATAAATATGTGGTGAATGATAATAGATCAGAGAGCACACTAAAGAGCCAATCTGTATGGGTTTCATTCCTGCCTGTGTGACGGTGTGATCCTAGTCACTTTTTTGTGCTTCACTCAGTTTCTTGTCTACAAAACAGGGATAATAATGGTATCTTGGTGGGTAATTGTGAAAATTAAATAAGTTAATATGAGAAATGCAGTTAGAACAGGAGCTGACACATAGTATGTGCCACTATCATCATCATCATCATCATGACCTCTAATTACTGATGTTAAAAAATAACTTCCATACACGTACATAATTTGCACAAAATCCCATCGGTGCGATTTTGACAGGTGGAAGGGGACTCCCGATACTGCTAATTGTTCACTGGGCTTAACCTCAGATGATGATTCAGCTAAATGCTGTATTGGATTTCATCATTTCCATTTCCCCTACCCCTGCAATGTGACTCTCTGAGGGGTTTACGGTTTTCTAGAGTGGCCCGCATACTTGGGTGCGTGCACTCAGGACACTGAGGAGGACCGTGTGAGTGGAATAGGAACGGGAACATCTTAAAACGAAACAGCTGCGTCAGAAGTGGTCAAGGCTCAGGCGCAACATGATAGCTGCTATTAAACCCCACTTTGAGCGCCTCGTGGCTTTGATGATTTCTTTCTTCCTCTCACAAGTTTATAATTCTTTTCCTGACTTTAAGTCAATCTCATAAAATCAGCCCGATTTTTGTTTTGGTTCATATTAAAGTTTTGATTGTACTGTCCATTCATTTCAGAATTTTCGTTGTTTTTGTTTTTTGCTTTTTCTTTGTCACTTTGGTCTGAGGAAACTATAAAGTGAGGTGGACCAGCCATGACAAATTCTTGTAAACAGACATGGAACTAGGAATTCTTGTTTGTTCCCTAGCCTTCACCTGTCTCACCTCCAAGGCACTTCCTCTTGGTAAGTATCTGGAAGTGTCCATTTGTGATGTGGATTTGGTTTCATTTTGTTTTGTGTTTTCAGGATCTGTGGTACCAATGTCCCTTCCTGACACCTCTTAGTCCACTGCAAGCTAGTGGAGTGAACATTTTCATTTCAATATCTGTCAATGGTATCCTTGAATAAAATTTATTACTCACTACTGTAAGAAAGTAAGAACTTAATTGCACTGTTGAAATTTAAAAATTTATTTTTCATTCGACAGTTAAGTACTAAACGCACTTTAAGCTCCTTGAAGCAGTTCTAGGGCCTTCCGACCCTATTGTTAGAAAAGCCATTTAAATAAAATGTTACTTGGATTCATATAGTCAATTCTACCACTGTATTTAGCAGCCTTTTCTTGGGGCAACTACTATTAAGTCACTACTTAAAGACTATTTAACGATGTTGAAACGAAGCCTACACTTAGCCAACTTATTGGGATTTCTTCCAACTCCCAACCACCACCTGGGATTCATCTGAATTCTCTGATTCTGTGTTTCAAATCAAAGATACTATTTGCTGTCAGCAAGTACCCTGATTTATTTAATCCTTCCCCAAAATATATCCTGAAATTCTCACAATTTAACCCCTATTTGTCATGACAGCAGCTCCTCTACAATGACTAAAACACTCTTCAGCATTATCAGGTGTTTGCAGAGGGCTCTGTTACTGCACTGGTAGCCTGGAAAATCAAGACCAACCCTCTGAAACAGCGTTGTTACTTTATCTTCTCAACAAATCACCAATAAATTTTTTAAATAACATTTATAATTTCTATTACTTCTCTCCGAAAATAAGAACGCCCAAGCATACAGCAAGCATAGCATATGTGTGGGGGCTCAAGAATCTTCATAATTCTCATTTAAAGTGTGTCAATTGTGAATTTAATCAACAATATTCAGGCTTACTAGTTTTTAGACTAAACAGTGCAATACAGGAAAGTATGGGTTTAAATAGAGAGGAAAAAGAAAATAAAGTAAGATAGGAAAAATAGACAAGAAAGATGAAAACTCTGATTTTTAAAAGGAAGTGTGACAATGGAATCTAATATAATCAAGTTTCACCTTCTAGTGTATAAATTGGTTAACTGATAGATTTTTTTTTAAGTTGTAAGTAGAGCAGGAGTCCTATGATAGAGATGTGGCATTTTTTTCTTCTCCAAAATAGTAAGAAGAATGTCCTACAATCCATAATAAGAATCAAGGGGGAAACTCAGAATAATTTGAGTAGTTTGCTGAAAGTTAGTCTCAGAGTTTGCAGCTCCTAAATTTTCAACTGCCCTTCCCCTCTTTTCAGATCAGTTATGGAAAGCATGGAACAGAACTTCCTGAAGACCAGCTGGCATTTTTACTAAGCTTTTTTACTTTGAGATAACTGCAGATCCCCATGCAGTTGTAAGAAATAGTAGAGATCCCATGCACCCTTTACCCAGTTTCTCCCAGAAGTAAAATCTTGCAAAAACACAGGCAATATCAGAGCCAGGATACTGACCTTGATTCAGTTAAGATGCAGAACATTTCCAGTGTCACAAGCATCCATTTTGTTGCCTTGTTATGGCCACACTCACTTCCCTTCCACCCCACTGTTCCTTAATTCCTTAATTCCCTTCCACCCCACTGTTTCTGTTCCTTTTTATGGCCACTTTCCTTTCACCCACTTTTCTCCATTTCTATAATTTTGTCATTTCAATAATTCTATATAAATGGAGCCATACAGTATGTAACCTTTTGGGTTTGGCTTTTTTCATCCAGCATAATTCCCTGGAGATCCATTCAGGCTGTTGCACCTATCAATAATGTGTTCCTTTTTATCACTGAGTAGTATTCCATGGTAAACCTGTGCCACAATAAACCATATATATTTAACTGTTAACAGAATAGGTAAGTTTGTCTTTTCATTGAAGGCTATTTGAGTTGTTTCAGTTTTTCACTGTGATGAATAAAGCCGCTATAAGCACTCATGCACATATTTCTGTGTGAACTTGAGTCTTCATTTATCTGGGATAAATGCTGAGGAGTACAATTGCTGAGTTACATAGTACTTGCAAGTTTAGCTTTTAAAGAAACTGCCAAACTGTTTTCCAGAGACTATGCTATTTTACATTCCCATCAGCAGTATAGGAGTGACCTTGTTTCTCCACATCCCTGCCAACATTTCCTGTCGTGGTTGATTTTTAGTCAAAGCTAGAGGTCCAATTTGGAGCAAAAACTGACAGAAAATCTTTCACATTTAATACATTGTGTTATTTTAACATTACCAGGAATTTTTAAATACCAGATCCCTTTGGTTTAAACGCTACAATTTAAATGCTGTGTACTTTTGATAAATTACTTAACATCTCTGAACCTCAATTTCTTTAGATGTAAAATCTATCCCTGCAAGTATAGAACTATATTAAAGGGATCATATGTGTAAAGAACATAAGATACAATAGATGCTTTGTAAATGCAAATCCCCTTCCACATTATCTATTTGATTATTCTATTAATATTTTATTCTATTCTTTTAATAAAATATCTTTCCATCTAATTTACTTTATTCTATTAATTATTTATTCTATTAATAATATAGATGCTTTCTCTTAATGCATTCCCAGCACCATTTGTTTGGTTTTATAGCTCTGTCTCTCCTCCATTCAGATGAACATAAATATTGTTTAAAAAGTGTGTTAACATGAAAGAAGCAGGATGATATTGCTTTCAAAAACAAATTCAAACCCATCTCTACTGCTGTATGAACTTAGGCAGTTATCTTCCATCTGCAGTCAACAATACTGGTGGTTTCATCTCTTCCATCTTTAGAATGAATGGAATCAGACCTGAAATACCTGCCCTACAGAGATGCTGAGTTCAAATGACAGAAATATGTGAACATTGATTTGCAAACAGTGAAGAGCTATACCACTACGTGATCAAGAGAGTAAATCTAGTTACAGAAAATGAAGTCCGCTGCACCTAAGGTCTCATTCATTCTGCCACAGAACATCAAGGTCAAGAGATAGCAGGAACCACAGTGATTTCTGAGTCTAGGAGAGTGGTGCCCCAAGGAACGGGGTGCCAGAAGATTCTAACAAAAATCATATAAACAATCAGAAATGAGTTCACTAAATGAGTTCACTAATGGTTGCACAATAGGTAAAGTAATCATTGACATCAACACCCTTGGTTCATCCTATGTTGACAGCTGCCTTGAGCTCATAAGGTAACCTCAGGGAAGGGGAAGTTCGTGACCACAGAGAGGTTGACAGTGGCCTTCTCACAAGCTCACAAGCACATGCAGCCTGAAATGTGTTACAATTTGTCTGGCTCAGTTAGATGGAAACAGATTATATAATCCCGTTTTAACTAATCTTCCCCAAATGAACAAGGGGTTTAAAAGATTCCTGCAAAGACCTTTTCCTTAAATATGATCCCAAGAAGGCAGACATAAACCATCAACAGGAAAATGGCGGAAGTGACACTGGTCCTCCTCGTCTCAGCCACAAAACAAGACGGAAACACTGACAACATGAATCCAAAAGTAATCACCCAGAGGATTCTTAAACCACCAAGACTATCTGAAATGTGGGTTTACACCCACTGTTGATGAGACTGAATCTTACCTTAAAACATTTAAACCTTCTGACTAATTTTTTTTATCTTATCTCTTTTTAGCTTATTTTTGGCACAGGTTTGTAATGTACATATCAGTAAAGAGGTACAGATGTATAATTTGCAAATAAATATACTTAAAGTGTTTTACTGTTGGGGTACATAATAAAAACAGTAGGGGAATCATGGACCTATTTCTTTAAGACATTATTTTCCCCACTGTAGACGTTTGTATCAGGCACCAATAGACTACACCACAAACGACAAAGATGACATTAAACTAGATTTCCACTCACAGACCAGTGGGTTATCATCACTAGAACCATCTTCTCATATCTTTCAGGAACTCTAACGAAAGCCAGAAGCCATTACCTTCGCTCTGTCAACCCTGAGTTCTGGGAGCCAATGCAGGCTCCTCATACAAATCTCCAAAAATTCTGTGGGCTGCTAGCATTCCCACGCTTAGTGGCTCTCAAGAAGGTAACTGTGGCATGCCACTCTAACATTGAGAGCTATGCCAAAGCAAACAGCTGACAATGATTAAGCACTTACGCTATGCTAGCCCCTCATGTGACTTGCCTCACTAAATGTTCACCACGACAATGTGACAGAATCTACAATTATTATCCACCTTTTTCAGCTATGGTAACTAACATGGAGAATGGTTACTTTCCCAAGATCACACAGCTGATAACTTTTGTAGTCAAGTTGAGACTGTGCCTCTGACTTCAAGGACCTGCTGTTAATCACTATGTTATGCTGCCTTCCATGCATAATAATAACTTTATGGAATATCATTATGAAGATTTCTTTACAACAAAATTAATTTTTAAAATTTGTCACATTCTACATGTAATCTTGCTTCCTCTTGGGATCAAAATATTTACCAGAATACATAACTGATTTTGTAACATACATAAAAAGTAAATTATAATGATGTTTATGGAAATTATTTTACACACAGATTTTGAAAAATGTAACATACCAATTCTTAAAACAAGTGCTTTAAATCCTTTCTGAAACAAAGCAGACATAATATAAATAACAATACAATAAAATATATACAGCTTACTATTTACGCAGTTGTGTCTGACATTATATGATAAAACTTCCAGCACCCAAGGCAATGAGAAAAAGTCAGTGCAGGCTACAATTATTTCCAAATATTCAGATAGTTAACAATGATTAGAAAAATCATACGGACAGCTGAGTGAACCTTTTGATCATTAATGTAGCTATATTAATGCCATGTGATATTAACGTTTTTAAGTAGAGAAACGCCCAGTGAGTTGCAGCAGCCACTCTTCATTTTATGACTTTTTAGTCAAATACAGCAAATGGAGGTACTAGATGAAGGAAAAGAATGGCAATATCAGTAGAAAAATGCTTCTGAGGGCAAGTTCTTCTACATGGTTGTGTATTCTTGGCTGTGTAAGTTGAGGACTCTTGAGTTTCTCTTCTCAGACATTCCCCTTATAAATACCTAGGTCAAAGAAGAGTCCATACCACATTGACTCAAGGCCACCTTGTTACCATAACTATTTTACCGTTAATGAACCATCATGTTTATCTTTATAAGCACTTCATTAAATAACACTCTGTCTAGAAAAAGAATTATTCAGTGTTCTGAAAACTAAGCAATCCAACATTCCAATTAAATACATAAATTTTGCAATAAAGTAAAAATAGTCACTTGATTAGACTCCATAATTTTATTGCTGATATCATCTTTACTTGAATAGCACAAGTTGCATAGAACTTAACAATTTTGGAAAAGCAGAAAAAAATTACTAAAAATGTAGAGAGAGTTTCTGTTTTATTTAGTCTAGATTAATAACAGTTAAGTTGCCATATTTCCTCCAGAAAAAGCTTTTTCACTTTTTTCTCAGCAAGTCAGACTTCACAGAAATCATCTCATGGATATAGTTTATTATTCCAATTTAATTCATTTGAAAAAAAATCGGTGCTTTTTGACACCAATTGTTACACTATGCATTCATTTAGGAAAAATTATAGTAATAAAAAAAGATTCTTACATTTTATACTAGTATCAAAAATCACAGCAGCTGATATCATTTCATATAAAAGAATTGACATATATTTTCTTGGTTGAGTTTCTTCATCCAGTAAAAAATCATTTAAAAGGCACTGAATGGAAGAAAATAAACAAGCAAACAAAAACAATTCAATGCGTTTGGATCCAACTCCTTACCTGCTAGTTTATAGACAAAGAGAGCCAGTTCCTGTCTAGGTAAACTTTCTTTTTCAGATTTTGTTTCTGTATTACTCCAGTCTTACTTTCTAAATTCCTTTTTAAGCCATCATCTCATACCTATAGTTAGAAAAGTCCTTGCTCATTTTCTGATTTTTTTTTTCATTTTTATATGTACCACAAGCAATCTCATAGGAAAACTCGACTTTTTGGTAAATTCTGCAGAGGGTAAGCAGTCTGTCCAGGGCACTGTCCGTTTGTCACCCAGCACAAATAAAGAATTGCATTACCTACAAACGTATTAGGAAAGTGCTCCCAGCTGAAAGCATTTATCCAATTTCATTTGTTATTTGAAAGTCTAAAATACTAAAGGAGGCATTATTCCAGGAGCTACTGTTTAAAACAATGCCATGCCTATTCAGAGAAGAAAATCAATATTTGAAAATCTGAGTTGGTTTAAAAAATAATAACTAGGAATCCAAAAAATAATTCCTAAAGAAGCACTTATATGCCAGGCACATGTTTTTAATTTTAATAACATTGGTTTACCTAAATAAATATGTAGAACCTAATAATTGTTCTCTGTATGTTCATATTTTTAATACTATTCTATTTCAATGAGTTTGCAAAGAGGCTAATAAATAATAATGTAGAAAAATATGTATTAGTCAGTACAAAGTTGCTATGGTTTATGGGCACTGCAAAATGCTGTGTTGAAAACAATTCTGTTAAAAAGTAATTGAAAACTGCTTCAATTTTAAAAGAAATAAATGTAGCCATACCATTATGGGATAACGTCAGATAAAAAGTAATCATGTTCTCTCTACAATTGTGTTTGCTGGCATTTATATGAGAATAATCATGCTTTAAGATGATTTTCATAGTTGTTCACTTACCATGGGATTAACATCAATATCTGTGTAATTATCTCAGATCACTCATTTGAAAGTGGTATGGCAAAACAGGTTCATGGTTAAGACACGTTATCAGTTTTAATACTAAACAGATTAATACACATGAAAGTGATATTATAATTTTTTGCATTGAATAATGCCCCAGAGCAATTTTTTCCGTGAAAATAGAATTCTTATGAAATGGTATCCTTGGTAGCTACTGCTTCCTATTTCTTGAAATACTAAAGCAATTGGTTAGCTAGCAAACTGTATAAGAGCTATACACCTGAGCATGCATGACAATATGGATTCAAAATATTCCGTGGCTTTACCGTTGCACAATTTTATGGAAATTATTATTTCTAAGGTTTGTTTTTCATAATATTGAGAACCAAAATATTGTAATAGGAGGGTGATACGGAATAGTGAAAATACAATCCAGGTGGGATTATAAACCATGAACATTTAAAGTGTGAAGGAGATTGCTTATTGGCCACAATGGCTATGAATTTATTTTATGACCACCAGCAAACAAATCTAGGTCCATACCTTACACATTCTCAAATAATAAAGAAGCACATTTTAATACGTACTCCAGAGTCTCATAAAAATATTTCTCTGCCTCAGCTTCCCACTTCTAGAAGTTGACATGAGAAGAAAATGGGTATTCATTTAGAAAGTAATATGAAGTTGTAACATAATTACCGACGTCTTTCCCATCATTCTTGAATTCTTGTGTAAAGTAGACTTCACATCCAAAACCGTATTATTTGATAACCCTTGTTACATATTACATGGGTTGGGGAGGGGCCTGAAACCTTAGAAATGAAATTGAATGTAGCCTATGCAAGTGCCTCCCCCGAGAGAGAGGGAGATTATGTGTTAGAAGACAGACTCTGTACCACTTCTGCTGTGTCTGAAAAGGGGGTGGAAGTGCCAGGGATTTAAATCATGTTGTTTCCATTTATGCAGAGAGAATCCATTTTAAAAAGATTTATTGTCATATTTTCTTTTTGAAATATAGTATTTGTGTTGTGTTTTGTTTCTTTTACTTTAAAAGTGTTCCTCGGTATAGAGCAGAGTAAATATTACAGTTGTGTTCAACAGCAGCCAGGATGTAATTGTCTGTGAAATATAAGGCTTACGACCTGATTTGAGTTCACTACTGTACTGCTGATACAAACTAGACTGGCCTAGAGGTGAGCGAACGCACCCAGGGGCTGATTTACACAGAAGAGCCCTCTCCAAAGAATCAAAAATGGGTCGGGGACAGCCACTCGCCGGCAGGATCCCATCCAGAGGGCCAGGAGCTTTATTCTTCCTGCAGCAGATTTAAAGTGACTTTGTACAAAAAGTGAAACAAGAATAAACAGCTGTGGAAATGTAACAAATCATGCTAGCAGCTGAACAGCGAGGGAGAAGGGAAATCCAGCAAACCGCCAACACACTCTGGAGAAAAATAAAACGGAGGTAAAGAAGAGGGGAACGGGGGGCAGGAAAGGAAGCTGGTAAGGACACGACACTGGTTTCCATACCCGAAACACGCACTTTATTGTTGCATATAGCTCAGTGGCTGTCGGGAGCCTGAAAAGTGTGTCCTTCAACACAGCTCTGCGCGCCCGCGGCCCTAGGGTGCAAGCGAGGCCCCTCCGCCCTCCGCCGCCTGCCCCCCCACCCCGCCACGGTCCCCAAACCCCAGCGCATGCGCCCCCCTCTCCTCCCCGCAATGTCTCCGAGGGTCGCTTCCTCCACCCGCCCGGAGCGCAGAGGAGAAAGCCAACGGCTACAGATTTGCCCCGGTGGCACCGCAGCCACAAGCCAACCCGTAATTGCAAAGCAAACAAGGCTGAAATATTGGATTGGCCTCCATCGTGACAAGATCTACGCTCTTGCCGCCAATCTGTTTGTGCAGCTCTATTTAAAGGCACTTGATTGAGGAAACGTTGAAAATAGCGGCGAGGGTTTCCCTAATGAGACCTCAGGAGGGAAGCGGCGGCCTTCGCCCGGCACCGGGGGGCTGCGAGGTGAGGGTGGGAGGCTCGTGGTTAACCCCTTCCTGCTTGCTTCGGACAAAAGTTCCCCCGAGATGGAGCTGGGGGGCCACCCTGCCTGGAGTCGTGACCTCTTCCGGTCTGAGCGGCGGAGAACCCGCCTAGGAGGAGGCTGGGGGTCACTATGAGAATTTAACCAGGATGGAAGGGGTGCCCCAGTGGCCATCGCAGTGACTGGAAAGCAGGCGGCCTAAATCCGGGGTTCCGCCCTGGTCGCCTCCGGTGCCTGCCCCACCACACTCCCGCGCCGCCGGCCGCAAGGTCTGAGGCCCTGACGATCCCCGCGGAGCCGCGACTGGCAGCTCGAAGGCACCGAGGAGCGGTGGTGCCCCCCATGAGAGTCGAGAGAGCAGCTGCCCTGGTGGGCGATGCGGGCTGGCACCCATCGCTGTCGGGCAGGGTCTTCAGGCAGCTAAAAGGAAACGGAAGAAACCAAAGAGGCAGGAGGAGAAAATACAGGAAAACTAACTGAGCGCGACCTGCTCTGGCTTGGGCTTTGATCCCCTTTAATCTAGGTGCGTGTCATTATCCCCATCGCTCAGATAGGAAACTAAGACTTAGACACGCCGAGGTGCTTGCCGGAGATCACCCAGCAAACCGTGGGGTATCTAGAGTCGGCCCTGCCAGCTCGGACTTAGAGCTCAGGATCTTGCGAGTGGGCACCAGAGAGGGCAGGCTGGGGCTGAGCCTCCCTCTCAGAGCCAGGGGAAATTGATGCAGTCCCAGTGCAGGCCCCACCGAGCCAGAGGACAGCTTGGAGATGGAGCTCTCTTCCCTAGTGGGTGACAGCTAACTCCTCTACTAGTTCTAATCGTTTTCTAAATAAAGGCAACTAATTTTATTGCAACTGGGGGAGACGGGATTCACCCGATATCCCTGTCATTCCTTTTATATGGGCTGTCTAAACATCTCCTTGGTGCAATGCATTGATTGAGTTGTCAAGAAACCCACAGTCACAGAAGGTGACATATGCTTGCCTGAGATCTACCCCAAAGAAAATAAGTGACAGCGCCAGGAAGGAATTGAGAAAAGAAGACTTCATTTGGGGGAAAGAGAGGAGAAGCAATATCTGGAGAAGCTCCCTGGGGGAGGTAACACTTAGGCTGGACCCAGAAGGAATGAAGTGTGGATTCTCCAACATGGGAGAGAGATGGGTTGTTTCCCAGCATGCTGGCAAGTTGAAGAGTGCCAGACCCACACAGTTGGGAACAAGATAGGAGTCATATTTTCATCCCCTGCTGTCATCTCCCAGCTGCCCTCCTCTTTTGAAGATTGCATTGACCAAATATTGAGCCAAGGTTCTAATGCCTGTTAGTATTGAAATTCTAGGGCTTGAGAGTGGACACCCGCAGGTAGACTTCGACTGTCTAGAGCCCTGGATTTAGACCAAAGGGGACCGTCAAGGGCACAGATGGGAAAATGGCACTAGGGGCACTCTCATCAGAGCTCCTAACTGCTAGAGCCAAGCATTCCTGTGCTTTTCCCATAGGGATCTCATCTGAGATATACCTTGGCCAAACTGCAGTTTGTCTTTCTGGAGTCACAGGCAGGTGTAGACTGGGAAAGCGAAGACCCCCAGGGGGTGGGGAGGACTGGTTTCGGTTATACTTCCCCATGAATGATCTGCACCTTCTGTCAGCAAAACAAAAAAAGCATCAGTCACACCAATTTAGTGAAGTCTCCAAATGTATTCTGAATGAAATTCTGCTTTCTTTTTTTTGTACATAACCCAATTTCTTCATTTGAAGTTGGATACTTTGCAAGCAGAATGCAATTCCATTTTTCATTCCTTGAAGTTGTGGCCTGTGTTAACTTAAGTGGGCACTCAAAGCAAGTATTAAAAAGAAAAACCATTGTCTTCTGGAAAATGGAACAAAGTAGCACCTCTCCAATCATGCTGCAGATATATAATCTGCAACAACAAATTTGCCCCCTAGTGCTGCGCATTTCCAGCTAGCATCCTGCCTTCTCTGTTTATAACTTTGCTGCCTGCAATTATTTTTATTTTAATTTTCTGTCACTTTAACAGAAACCAGAGCCTTTTCTTTTAATGTTTTGTACACAACATGTTCATTTTGATAAGATGTTCTTTCCTATCCTCTTTTAGCTTGCCTTTCCTTGTTTAGAGTTCTGTATCAGGCATTTCTAATATTTCTCTCTCTTTTTTTAAGAACTTGTCCCTGTCTTGCTTTATTTGTTTGTTTGAAATTTAGTTTGAAAGGAGATCAGAGAGAGCAGGAGGGGTTTGTAATAAGAGAATGACCGAATGACCCAAAGGCTGATTATCTATCATTAACTGGAGACTCGGTGTACCCAAATTACCAGGGAGGCCTCAGTCTGCCGGATTCTTACCCAGCCAGAAAGGCAAGCCTGGAATGCACACACTGAAACAGGCTCATGACATTGCAATGGAGGACACAGTTCACACAACATTTTCTTAAGGACTTTTCCTGCAAAACTCAACTCAAGTTCAGTAGATAAATTTTTTAGTTTCTGATATGTTGTATTCAGGTTAAAGTCTCTGCCAAAAGATTACCTATAACACTTCTATAACTAACTTTTTTGTGTTGTTTCGTTAACAGCAAAATTGCAGTTAATTGTCTAAGCTCCTGAGAATATTGAGAAATCAAACCAAGCTGCTTTTGATCTGCTCACATTGCTAAACCCAAGCCTTGTAAAAATCGAGGTTTGCCATTAATATTGACAATAAAAGTGTTTCTTTTTGTTAACCTGAAACCTAACCATCCTGGTGTAACTCCTCTGTCTACAAGCAAGGGCCCTGGAATGATGTACGAAAGGTTTGGAGGAAACTGTCAGAGCTAAAGAAATCCATCTATGTGAATTTGCAAAGGAAGCTATGGAACAGAACTTCCCAGGAATGCAACACTACAGTTAAAACTAGGAATGTGCCCGAGCCTCAAGTCAGAAGCAAATCTTTCAGTAACATAAAAATGTTTTCTCTCCCAAGCCCCATTTTAAATTGCCATTTGCACTCGTATTTTATTCTGAGCCCCATAATACTTTGCAGATTAGGTGAAAACCATTACTTACTATTTCCATAGAACATGTAGGCAAAATCACACTTCCTTATTTGAATGTTGAGTGATTTCTTCCCGGCTTGGAAGAAAATATCACTAATGTGTATGCAATTTGCTTGAAACAATAATTTGAATGAGTATTTAACATAAATCCTATCGGATATATGTTCTCACACTGGTTTTGCTTTAAACTCTGTATTTTACTACCAAGTAGCAAAGACCAGCAAAGCTTAGACTTACTGTACTTCTTAGCACTAGTATAATAACATTAATAATACCTTCCATGTACCTCCATCATGCTGCTTCTTTGAGGCCTTCACAGGGTGGGTTATCTTATGGTCCCTTTAGTCTGAATAAGTACTCTAGACTTACAGACACACTTGGACACCTGGCAAAATACTTAGTTGTCTCTTATCAATGAAAACCCTCCAGTGCAGCAAAATATCTCTCAGTGAATATGGGGATCTAGTCACTGATTATTTAAAAAGAAAGGAAAATTCTAATGACTGTAGATATTAAGATTTGTCTTAAAAGACTTCAGTGTGAACCAGAATTTCATTCTTCCACACTAGTTGCAGATTCAGTGATGGGGGAAAGAAAACACCTTGTAATCCCAAATGCTGCTAGTGGGTGAGTTACAAGGGAGAAATGGAGAGAAGAAGAGGGAGAGGGAGGGAGGAGGGTGGAGAGAGGAAAGAAGGGAAGGAGGGAGAGGAGAAAAAGGAGAAGGGAAAGTGCAGACACTAAGCAAGTCTCGATTTTCTCCACTGACTTAACTGTTTTCTAATCAGAGCTGGACTTATGAAGGATTCATAAGGAATCAGCCCCTCCACAGTCATCTTTCAGCTGAACTAGCCCCTCCCCCCTCCATCTTGGTGTAGGAAAGAAAAAGGAAGAGGATCCACTCACTGAATACACCACCCCCTACCCCAAAATCCAAAATCTGCTTAAAAGAAGAAGGAAAAATCCTCACAAGACCCAAGGGCAGCTTTTCTTGCCCCTCCTTTTTAAAAATAGACACACAAATCCAATAGAATTTGGTTCTGCTTTGCAGATGTGTACTTTGAGCAGCACCACATTCCTAGAGCCACTTTCACTTGCTATGTCTGTAGACAACCATTTCCCAAAGGCAAACAAGAAAGGGAAGGATTACACAACCCCAGTTAGAGGGAGACCCTTGCCACCACTCAGACAATATGCCTTGTTCTGGGCGTCCTAAACATCCTGGGACTAAGTGGATAACATGTAAAATGACTCCACCCCACCCTGGTACAGACAGGAATGCAGAGCCATCAAAGTGTCACAAGAAGCACCGTCCTTGGAACAGGTAGGCTGAGGTGACATCTTCAAGAACCTGTTGCTCCTTTTGTCACCTCCCAGGCTTGATGTTCTTTCAGAGGTTCTTAGCATGTTCTGAGGCTCATCTCATGTAAGATCATTAAAGATTCTGAAGGGAATGGTCAGAGTCACTTCCACTATGTTGGTTAGAAAAACAAAGTGAAACGAGATTTGAAAGAAGATGATGAGAATTGAGTCATAATTCCCATGAACATAAAATGTGCATTTATGACCCTCTGCCCTGATTCTTTTTGGGTCTAGTTTGTGTTGATGTCTTGTGAGCAAAACAGAGGATGAAAACTGCCCTTGCCTTTGAAATAATAAACACCCTGAGACAATCTTTAGTTAAAACCTAACTAAAGATTTTTTTAAATTAGTTTAAACCAGACTGATTTTTTAAAGTATAGTAATATCTCACAAGACCAAAATGTTAGCAAGGGCGTGCTGAGTCCCTCTGGTGCTCTTCCCATCTTTTCCAGGGAAAACAATAGCAGTGATGGCAAAGAGACAAGTGACATGAGGAACAAAATAAGTGTTTGAACCTGAATCTATTTGGCCGAAGGCAGATGACATGTGCAGCACGGTAGGTGCACCATCAGTTACAATGAAGACAGAGAATCCCAAACCCTCACTTACCCAAACCCAGGCTGCCTCCTTGTGAAGCAGTTTCTGGACCCAGATGAGACCGGTTTCAGCCAGCCCTCAGCCTCCAAGGAGAGGCAGAGAAGCGCCCCTAGTTAGAATTCTTCCACAGGCACGCAGAGGAGCTCCCAGCAGGCTAGTTCCCTGGGTCTTTGAGTACTTCGAACCTGTACATCAGCGGCCACACTAGTGTAGCTCAGATGTGTGGTCCCCATGCTGACCCCAAAACCAGGGACTGTGCCTTTCTCCCTTACTTCTCCCACTTTCTCTCTCATCACCAACACCACCCTCTCCCCTTCATCACCACCACTACCACTACCTCCACTACCACCAGGATGCCCGGGAAACCTAAATCGGGGGCAAACTTGAGATGGCATCTTTTGCTTCACATCTTTCCAAAGGAGCAGGCTAACCCAGTATCCTGGAAAACCTGGAGCAAAACAGGCCATAGGACATTGCAAGAGAAAAATGGATCTGTTTGTGCATTTAGGGTAGAGCTCAACCAGTCAGGGCCAGCCTGGCCTCCCTGAGTCAGTTACTCCAGTTGGGGATACCACTAAGGTTCACCCATCTGTCCCCTCTCCTCAAGCCACCTTTCTAAAGCAGTGGCCTCTGGGTTTGAGTTTCTGAGTTATATTGTCTTAGGCCCTTGGACCACAGCAATTAACTGATAATACAGTTAAGTATTATCTGTATTGATAATAATGACACTGCCAGTGAGAACTGATGTTCAGATTAGCATCTTTAATGATTTCTTTTTTGTATCAAGTTGCTCATTTACTTTACCACTTCTAGTGCTATCTGGAGCCATGAAGCAATTCACTCGTTTTTGTTTGTTTGTTTCAATTAAAAGCATGAGAAGGGCTTAAAGTAGCAAATTCTGAAGCCTTCAAAAGTGAGGCCACTCACCGCTTGCCTCTGGCAGACAGTACATCTCAATCCCCAACTCTGCCCTCCTCTAGACTCTTCTTCTTCCCTTCAATTCTCAAAACTCCCTCTGGGTCTGAACGCAGCCAACCAACTAATTTCCCTAAACTTTTATATGTTCCCAGCCCAGGTCTTACTTTGTCTACCTGCTCCCAAGGCCTAAATGTGTTTTTATAAACAGACTTTTCAAAAACGTATCAAATGTCAGAGAATTGAACTACCAGTATTTACACATTCAGGGTTTGCCTCCGGGTGAAAATGTAAACAGAACCCCCAATCACACTACCTGTATTCTTTCCTTGAAGAACTAGGTCCTTAAAAAGCTCTCCTTGTGCTCAAATCTGCAGACCCACACAAGTAGGGGGTTTAGAGCTGTATGTAGTTCACTATTTTGTTCCCAGCTCAACTGCAAGCCCCTGGCGCTTACCAAGGAGCCTGGTTTCAGTTACCCGCTATTCTGCCTTAAGTCATTGAATGCTTTGCCGGGGTTGGGGTGGTGGTGGTGGTGGTGGTGGTGGTTCAAGAATATTAACCCCTTACCTAGAAACAGAATGGACCCTACACGACTCTTATCCTGAGCTTTTAAGTCCTTCTCTCCTACCGCGCAGCTGCAGCAAACCTAAATACATATCTTTCTCATCCTGCTGCCCAAGACTCTAGCCCTAGTGGAGGGCAGGGCCCGAGCTCAGAGTCAACAGCAAAGTCGAAATTGGGCGCCCTCCACTCGCACTGATGTCGCCTTCCAGCCGGAACCACTTTGTCTCGGCTGCGGCGAGCAAGGAAAGGACTCTCCTTGTGGAGTCCTTCAGGTGGGGTTCGCCTTGCGGCCTGCGGCTGGACTCTGCCCGCCTCCAAAGGGCAATGCCCGAAGTGGAGTCTTTGGTCTCCCTCGGGCTACCCTGGCCTGCCCAACGGCTAGCCCCAGGCCACCCTGTCCCGCGCCGGCGCCCGCACACTCTGTCCTCGCCTCCCTCTAATTTACAGCCTGCGGGCTCCTGTTGACACCGTTTTCCACACCGAATTCCTTTGGGTGGAATCTGTGTGTACACATCAGCCTCCCCTCTCGGCTTGGGGCCAAGCCTGGGGTGATTTCAGCTCCTGCCATTGACCACCCGCCCTCGCCCCTCGCCGCACGCGAGCCTTCCCAAGAAGCTCCCACCACCCGGGCGCTGCGGCCGGGGTGCCCCGCAGCCGGTGACTTACAAGAGGACATCCATTTTCCGTTATAATGCGTTCAAGATCACCAAGGCTGGCCGTCTAAACATCCACGAGCCGTCCTCCCGGCCTGCCTCTTAAACTGGCGTTTAATGGTTCCCCTCCGATAACTAAACCTGCTTTCCACAGATGCCCGCTTTTATGAGGGAGGCAGGAATGCAGAGATATATTTATATGTTTGTTCATAAAAACTGGAAAATAAGCTCTGAACACGCTGTAAAAAATATTCGGTTACTTACCAAACAGGCTAGTTAAACCAGGGGAACACCAATACCAGCCACACTACAGATTCGGGGAATTGAGGTGCCCGCACTTTGCAATCGCCCGAGGTCTTCGCTGGGGCTGCTGTCCCTGAAGGATGTGGAAATAACAGGTTTACAATCGGCTTGATCGTGCGCCCGGAGGAGTGAGCCGTTATCTCCAAAGTTTGCCGCAGTAACGTGAGCCACCCCAAACAGCTCTAACCGGGGTAACAGGGTGAGTTAGTCAACGGCCACTGAGACCGGCATTTCCAGCCTGTAAACAGGTCAAAGAAACACCCTTCTCCAGCCCCTCCCTGTCGCTGCCTCAGCGGAGAAGGAGACAGCGGGGCTCCTATCCGCGCCTTAGTGGGGGCCCCCACCGCCCGCCACTAGGCTCCCGGCGCCCCCTGCATAAAATTGTAAGAAGCTACCTGCTTCTATTTTCTTGCGTCGATTACCTACGAAGCACTTGAAAAGCAATACCTGCGTTTTCTTTCTTTCTTTTTAACCGGAAAAGAAAGCAGAGTGATACTGTACCTGGTTAGAGATTCTTCAATATTTGAGACTTGGGGAAAAAAATAGTTTAATAGTGAAGCATCTGTTAAACACTTGCATTATCCTCTGCTGATAAAAAAAAAAAAAGTTTTTTTAACCCTGCCCTCCCCCCAAGTTTTAATTATCTTATGGTTATGAGGAGGCAGCCAATCCTGGAAGAGGACCTCGGCAATTAGCAACGTGAACATCAAAAAGTTTTATTGCCGAGAGCTCGAGGCACCGCCCCCGCCGCCCGGGGATTGGCGCAAGGAGCCTCTGACGACATATATTAACCCGAGCGGCCCTAAAGATGTAGCTGTACATGGAGATCTTACTGGGAAAATCCGCTGGCTCCCCTTACGTCGCCCGGCTCAGGAGAACCACCGCCACCACCCCGGAGTCTCCTCGGCCACCGCGCAGAGACCTCTGAGAGCCCGAGCCGCCGCCTTCGAGCTCCAAGACACATTCAGGGCCCCAGATCCTTGCCCCGAAAGGAGAGGATCTGAAAAAATGGATGCACTGAGACCCCTCTGAAAACCCTCCGAGAGAGCCCGAGAGGAGCGAGGATACGTTACTCGCAGCTAAAATCACATTTAAGGACCAAAACAACAACAACAACCAAAAATTCCATTTAAACAATAAGTGCCCAAGAACCCAGACGGGCTGGTGGGGGGAGGGGAAGAGGCGGGACGGGGAGGGTCGCACGGAGGTAGCTTTGCAGTGAGCAGTCGACCCCGCCGCCTCCCGGCACAGCCAGACCGGCTCCTCCAGCCTGGGCTCAGACTCGCCCCTGGATTCCGGGTTAGCTTCGGGGCCGGGACCGCGGCCAGGGAGTGGATTCCCGAGACTCTGCGAAGCAGCCTCGCGGGAGCCCCGGCACCTTTGTATGAGCACGAGAGGATTCTGCCTCCGCGTAGCAGCCCGGGAAGCAGGAGCCGGAGCGCAGGCCGTGGAACAAGGCGGGAGCCGGCGGCGGCGGCGGCAGCGGCAGCCAGGGGCGCACGGTGCCGGGACCAGCTCGCCGTGCCCCATGGGGAGCCGGCGGCCGCAGCGCTGCTGAAGCAGGCCCGGCTGGCCAGGCGCGGGGACGGGGCCCGGGCTGCAGCAGCCCCCTCTGCGGCTGCCGGGCGGGCCCGGGCGCCCGGGGGCTGGGGGGTGGGGGGTGGGGGAGGACGCCCAGCGCCGAGGCAGGGGCCCGAGCCGAGGGCGCGGCGGGGCTGCGTGCACGCTGGGGCGTGTGGAGGGGCACGGAGGGCGAAATGAGTCTGGTGGGCGGCTTTCCCCACCACCCGGTGGTGCACCACGAGGGCTACCCTTTTGCCGCCGCCGCCGCCGCCGCTGCCGCAGCCGCCGCCAGCCGCTGCAGCCATGAGGAGAACCCCTACTTCCACGGCTGGCTCATCGGCCACCCCGAGATGTCGCCCCCCGACTACAGCATGGCCCTGTCCTACAGCCCGGAGTATGCCAGCGGCGCCGCCGGCATGGACCACTCCCATTACGGGGGGGTGCCGCCGGGCGCCGGGCCCCCGGGCCTGGGGGGGCCGCGCCCGGTGAAGCGCCGAGGCACCGCCAACCGCAAGGAGCGGCGCAGGACTCAGAGCATCAACAGCGCCTTCGCCGAACTGCGCGAGTGCATCCCCAACGTCCCCGCCGACACCAAACTCTCCAAAATCAAGACCCTGCGCCTGGCCACCAGCTACATCGCCTACCTCATGGACCTGCTGGCCAAGGACGACCAGAATGGCGAGGCGGAGGCCTTCAAGGCGGAGATCAAGAAGACCGACGTGAAAGAGGAGAAGAGGAAGAAGGAGCTGGTCAGTACCAGGGGGCGGCGCGGTGGGGCTGAGGGGTCAGCGGACGGGTGCTACGGGCCGCTTTCCAGTGGGGCTGGAAATGGCATCTCATGCATCCCGCGCCCAGGTTGTTTGCACCAGGCTGGGTGAGGATGGTTTCCGGCAGGAGCAGGGAGATGAGGGGAGGATGTCAGCAGGAGGAGAAGGTTAAGGATGCGTTGTGCTGGTGATCTTACCTCCGGGTTATCGCTGCTCCCTAGGCACTTAGGACGGACCTAGAGAACTCTGGGTCACGATCAACCGCAATCACACTGGCCTAGATGCCTCATCCCATATCTGTTAGACCCTTCTTTTGGCCTCCAATCCGATCTTGATTTCAGATGTTTCCAGAATAAGCCTTGAAGAAGCCCTTGATCCCAATGACCACTGTTGATCGCACCCCCTACCCCACCCCGAGAAGGAAGCTGCCACTGAGACTAAGCCCTGAGTTTTGTGGTAGTTCTCATTACTATGCCCGGAAGACATAATGGTAAACATAAAATAAGTACTTTGGGCTTCAAAATACAGCCTCAATTTTTCTTTGGCTATGACATTAAAATGTAATTTCCTAGATGAATATATTCCATGGGCATGTCTAGTTTTATTTGAATGAGCCTGTACATTTTAATGGGAAAAAATATTACTATGGTCATTGTTATTTAAAAATAACACCAAAGTAAATGGAGCCTTTTACAGTTTTCTCAGATTGCTACCAAGTGCCCACAGGATGGTGGTGCATGATAGAGCTATGGCCACGAAGGGCCCGGAAAATAATTGCATTTGTCGAGTTTTTCTTCTTTAGCCCCTGCAGCCCTTTGGTGGCTGCATAATTGAGTGACCTCCCAAATAACCAGATATTTCAGAGGCCTTGCAGGAGAGGCACTGTTGAGCCAGGGACCGAGAGCCTCTGGCCCAGACGCCCAGGCCGAACTAGAGGCTCCTGCTCCCTATTTTTTCTAGATGGGGATCTAGGATTGCTATTGAAAACAGAAAAACCAGACTAAGTGCTGAGTCCAGCTCCCACCCCTACATCTGGAGTAAGAGAAAAGGCCCCAGCTCCTCCATAAACGACTCGAAAACGGACGGTTGTTTATAAACTTGTGGATCTGGTAGTTGAGCACTGCAGCAAAGAGGCCTAGGAGCAGGCTAGGGTAGCGCTAACTTTTGTAGATTCTCTGCAGGGGCTGGGGCTCCCCGCTAGTATCCTTTCCTCCCTGGCTCACGGTCTCCTCTGGCCCAGGAAGCACCCGGGTGGTGTGGGACAAGGTATGCTCTCTGAATTTCTCTTTCCACTTTTCTCGCCCTCGCCTTCCCTCTGCCCAGAACGAAATCTTGAAAAGCACAGTGAGCAGCAACGACAAGAAAACTAAAGGCCGGACGGGCTGGCCGCAGCACGTCTGGGCCCTGGAGCTCAAGCAGTGAGGAGGAGGAGAACGAGGAGGAGGAGGAGGAGAGCTCGAGTGAGCCCTGGCCAAGGCGCCAGATGCAGACCCAGGACTCGGGAAAAGCCGTCCGTGCTCCGCTCTGAGGACTCCTTGCATTTGGAATCATCTGGTTTATTTATGTGCAATTTCCTTCCCCTCTCCTTGACCCCCTTTGAGGCATCCACTCCCCATCTCCCCCTCCAAAAGAAAAAGTGGATATTTGAAGAAAAGCATTCCATATTTTAATATGAAGAGGACACTCCCGTGTGTGGTAAGGGATCCCGTCGTCTCGTAGATTCTGTGTGTGTGTATGTTCCCTCTTGGCTGTGTAGACAGCAGCGTTGCCCCCGCCCCACCTACTCAACCCCTTCCAGATAAAGACAGTGGGCACTAGTGTGTTTGTGAAGTGTATCTTTAATACTTGGCCTTTGGATATAAATATTCCTGGGGATTATAAAGTTTTATTTCAAAGCCGAAAACAAGGCCGCTAACATTTCCGTTGGGGTCGGTATCTAGTGCTGTCCGTTCATCTGTGGTCGTTCCCTCTTTGAAGATGTTTCCAACAGCCACTTGTTTTGTGCACTTCCGTCCTCTAAAACTAAATGGAATTTAATTAATATTGAAGGTGTAAACGTTGTAAGTATTCAATAAACCACTGTGTGTGTGTTTTTTTACAAAAACCCTAATCTTTTCATGGTTGATACCTCAAAAGAGTTTTGAAAGCAAAGCTGTTATACTTGTTTTCATAATATTTAAAATATTTAGAAGTAAACTAAATTATCGTGATTGCCTCTAACTTTATTTTAAAGACTTAGTGGTTCCTACCAGTCAACCTGACCTGCGGTCTATGCAGGAGGAGGAGGTGCTCTTAAAGAGAAGTGTCCTTGTTGCAAAGCCTGCAGAGGGTCTGGGCTCTGTTGGTGTGCTGGAGAATCCAGTGTCCGGCAGTTCGCTCAGAAGGTGCAAAGGTGCCCTTGCTTTCCTGAAATTAATCAGAAGCCGTTTCATGAGGGCGTCAGTTTTTGTTTGGAGAGTGCGTTTCTGGCGGAGGAGCTGTGAGGAGGACCCCGGCGTTATTACTGCAGCGGGAACTAGTCTGGGGTGTTTAATTCAAACTATGGGACTTTCATCCAAGAAAGAAAAGAAGAGGTTTTGCTTGTATGCTATACAGGGGATTCTCATCTGAGCAGGCGGAAAGGGGATGGAAGGAGTTTCGAAAAAGTCCATGATTAGGTAACAAGGAACTTTACGTCCAGTAAGAAATCACGAACAAGACCACGGTTTTAAAGGGGGGCGAGAGGCGGGTTAGATTTACAAGGAGTTACAGGGAACTCAATATTAACTGTGCGGTGTCTGAAGTCTTCCCGGCTGCAGCCCAGCAGAACAAGCGACACCCTCCCGGGACTACACTGGCAGCCTGGGACCCGGGACTTCTCCCTGTTGGGTCTTTGAGTTCCCAGAGTCCCAGCTCGTCCTAAAAGAAAGTCCCAGCAGCCTCCTTGGCCTGCGGCCTTGGCGGAAGCTTGAATCTCAGCTCTAGAAATCAGAGAAACTAAAGTGTCTGACTGTGCAGGGTGGCGGAAGGGGAGGAGAAGGCTAGGAGAGGGGGTGGGAGAAAAAGAGAAAGGTGAACCATGTTAAAAAGCGGTTTCTTTCGTGAAACGTCGCGTATATAAATCTGGTGTTGGAGAGGCTTGGCAGAGGGTTTCCATCCTGGAACCCATCCTCAGTGATGTTTGCACCTCGGACGCTGGCACAGACCCTCCTGCGATATCCCAAGGGTTCCCACGCCTCGCTCGTGCCCACTATGACCCCTCCACCTGCAGCGGGCTAAATCAGACCCCGCATGGGCGAATTCAGAAGTGCCCGGGGAGAGACAAGCAAGAGGCTCTGCGGACTTCTTCGAGCGGCTGACAACACGAGGGCGAGGGGTTAGAACAACTCGGTCAAAGCGATCTGAACTTTCTCCCCTTGGGTCAGCCGGCGCTGGGCCGACCTGGTGGGCGCGGGGCTGTGTTTACAGACACTTGCCTTTGTTTATTGCACGGGGAGGAGGTGTGGGGGAGGCGCGCCCTGATTTTCTGTTGCTCTCCCAATCGTCCCACGTTTGATCAAGTGGCTCTCTCTTCCTCTCCTGCTTCCAGTTGTTTTCTGCGTCTTGATTTTAATCCGCTCAGGAGAAAGCCATCAGGTCCTAGACTTGGAAGAAAGGAGTCTACCAAAGTGTCGGAGTAAACAGTGGTGGAGGAGGTGAGGTTTTAACAACAGGAATCGGAGAGGGGTTAGCTTCTCCGGACGCCTCTGTGCGCCTTGGGTAGCTGGTTTCTGCCATCTGGGCCTTAAGGCGCTTCTGCAGGTTTAACACTTTTTCTGGCTTAATAAACACCAACAGAGGGAAACCAAACGATGCCGGTGCACCATGGCTACGGAGAAACTTGCTAATACACGTGCTTTTAAACCTGTGCTCCTCTTTGTCTGGCCCCGGCCCAGCGCAGCCTGCCTGCTCTTCCTTCTGCGCCACGGCTTCCTCAGGGCCAGCAGCACCAGACCTGGACACCCCACCCGCCCTGCCATTTCAACTCTCCAGAAACCCTAACCAGCCAGACACCCAGCAGACCAGACACCCCAGACAGAATACCCAGCTGCCTGACACTCCAGGAGACTGAACCCCCTAACCAGACTCACACCCCAACTGACCAGAAACCGGCAGGGCACCCCAGATTATCTGTCACCCAGCCGCCTGGGCATCCAATGCTCTCACCCAACATCCCCGCCCCATGTTGTCAAGTCCCAGAAAGTGAAAGGCTTACTGGACAGGCGTTTCTTCTGCTTCCATGCTTTTCTCTTCCAACACTTATTTCTCTTCTAACTTTTTCTTCTTTGTTTAAAATTTTTTTCCAAGTCTCTACTTGTGGGACCGGCTAAAAAGCCTCTGTTTTAATTGCTCGGATAATGTGGTTGCTGCCATTTTGTTAAGAGCAATCACTCCTGCAGGGAAATCACAAGCGTTCTAGACAGGCCGGAGCCGACAAAAATGTAGGATTTGACGTTAAAAGCTAAATGGGAAGCTGCCGCGGCGGAAGGTAAATTGATGGTAGATCTGGCTGTCAGGGCTCGGCCCCAGACCCTGTGCAGGCCAAGCGCCTGATAACCCTGGAGCACCGGCGGGGCAAAGGCTCGGTCAGTTGTAGAGTGAGTGTGTGTGTCTGGAGACTCATTCTCAGCTTGGGAAGCAATTTGGGAAACTGCAGAGTGGGGGCCCTGCTCTCAATTGCCTGTGCACCCACAGCAACTTGAAGGGCTTATTCAGGCCGAGACCCCAAGATAATAGCAAGATCACTGGGGATCCTGCTTGCTTTCTAAATCGTGGGGCCACCCTCTGGGGCTCGGTGGGAAGCTCCAGCTTTCTGGATCGGTTAGCCAGAAGGCCCAGGCATTTAGGAAAGGTGGGCCTGTGGTCTGGGCTGCCTCCTTAGGTGAAAGAGGACCAGGCTGCTTGGTTGTGATGAGGTGGGTGTAGCAGCAGTGCCAGAGAGCACAGTCTGGGAGCCTCTTAGAAAGCACTTGTGCGTGTGTCCTGTGTAAAGAATGGAAGGGTGACCCAATTCCTTCCATCCGACTTTGCTGGTCGCTGCTCCAGCTTGGTGTGAATTGCAGAGCTAGTCTCCCACTTGGATTGGAGAAGTAGCAGGAGAACAAGAGAGGTGGGCGCACCTGGAATTCGCAGGAAGGGGTGAGGAAGGTGAAGGTGAGCTCAAATGCAAAGCGGCAGGGAGTAGGAGACCTGGGAACTCCTTCCCGCACTATAGTTTTGCAGCGAGAACTAGGGCCAGTTGCAAGGGCCTTAGGTGTATGTGCAAGGGACATGAGCGGGGCAAAGAGTGCCGGGAAAACTGGAACAGAATATACCCTGTGCATCTACAAAGCGCAAAAAACCGCTCAGTTATCCCTGAAGCTTTAACCAAAGGCTGCGCGGGCGGCAAGCGATTTTGTTTTCCACAGCCGCCTTGAGTTCTCCCTACCTGTGAGTCCCAACTACGCTCCCAGATTTGGAAAAGGAACTGACTAGTGGGTGCCAAGCAGAGATGGTCTCGAGTGAGGCTTGTGGCGTGGGCCCCGTGGGGGGGAGGCGAATCTGGACCCTGGTGACCTGAGGGCACCCGTTCCCTCCATTGGGCCCAGCTCCTAAGAGTCCAGATCTCCGGGCGAGGAGGGGGTGCTAAGGAGTCTCCCGGATGCACAGGACTCCTGGTCCGTCAGAGCCTGCGGATCTCTTGGAGAGAAAAACCCAGGAGTCACCCTCAGCCCAGGGCCCGAGACCCCGGTTGGAAGCTCCAACAGCCCCCTCCCTGCGGAAGCTCCGCGGTGCAACGAATTGCTGTTGGGATTAAGTCTACCGGGAATGGGGGTTGGGGGAGAAGGACTACGTGTTTTTTAAATGTTTAGAAAGAAGAGGGAGGAGGGAACTCCGGGAGAGGAAACCAATCCCACGTTTCCGGGGGCCGGACAGTTCTGAGCGCGCCGCCTCACCACCCAGCCGCTGTTCCACGCGTGTTTCCCGCACAGCAACTGTGCCCAGCTCCAATCAGCCTGGAACCGCTAAGCGGTTTCGGTCGCGGGCTAATGGAGGTTAAAGAGCACCGAGTATCTGACTTACGTGCACAGAGCTTACAGATCTCTCGCCCTGTTCTCCCCGCTCGATCCTGTCGAAGCCAGTTCCCATCGCGAAGCGCACCCCTCACCTCCCCCCAACGCGACCCCCCTACACACACAGTCCCTTCAAATGCTCCCGGCATTTGGGCCGCTTTGATGATCAGATGGTAGAGCCCTGATTACAAATTTATTCCCGGCCTCTCTGTCGGTCTTTATCTCCGCTATTAGGGACATCTGGGAGTGATTAGTGCCGCGCCCGCGCCCGGCCGCGCTCGCCTATCTCGCCGCGGCGGGGCCGGAGCCTAGCTGACGTCAGGGCAGACGGCTCGGAGCCATCCTAGCCGAGCTGGGTGTAATCGGCGGCCGCACGGCCAAGTCCTCCCTGGGCCAGGCCGGCAGCTGGAACGCGCCGCCCGCCTGCGCACAGGGACTTTATAAATATGTATTTTTAGCCCAGAAGACTTTGTGCTTTCCTTGTTTGGGGTGAGGAGGGGCCAGTTAACGTCTCTACTGCCCCCTCCCCACTCTAAATTTTCCAACTCGCTAAGGCTGAAGCATTCCGCCTGGAAAGCCTCCCACAGGCGATCGCTTCTTTGCTGTGTCCCTGCACCAGGGCGCAGCTTCTCTACAGCAACAACAGAGGCCGGGATGGTGCCAGTGCAAGTTCCGGACAGGGTAGGGTGGCTCTTAGGGGTGTCCTCCTCTCACTGGCACCCACTCAGCCCTACAGCCCTCTGGCCAAAATGGTGGGAGTTTCTGTCTAGCAGGACGGCCTGGCAGAAGCTGATTACAGAATGCGATGTCTTTTAGCAGCTGCCTTTGCACCTGCTATTAAAGCCTAAAGGACCCAGGGATCTGAGGCGCCCGACCCTCTTTCGCCCCGCCCTTCCTCCAGTCCCCCAGGGAGTTGTCCTTGAAGCAAATACTGACATCTCGCAAGGGCAAGGACGGCTGGCGGCAGCTTTGTCCTTTACTAAGTCCCAGTGCTCACGGTGGAGGCTGCTTATATTTGTGTACTTTCTGGGCGCCCAGACTGACGCCCCAGACCTCTGACCCCAGCGTTCTGCGGACTGACCTGGTCTGTCCCGAAGTAATCGGTGCTGGGATGAATCCAACACTTGAACTGTCCATTTCCGGGACAACTTGATACAATGACAAATTCAACCCCGTTTTCACCCTACCTTCACCAGAAATTGATCCAGCGGTTCAGGGACTGACTCGGAGCCTGCGATTTTCAAAATCTCCCCCAGAGAATGCCAAACCACTGTACCAGAGCAGGCCACACCCCTCCAACGGGTCTCCCACCCTGGGCACCTTCTCCACGACCCGCTTGAAATCCAGGAAGGTGAGAATGGGGGATGGGTGAAGCGAGGCCTGCATTATTAAGTCTTTACAGGGAGAGAATTAGCCATATTATAGATCAGCCCTACACCTTCGACTCACTGGGCAGCGCAAGTATTCAAAGCAAACCCAGAAGATACTCTTTATCCCTGCATGGGCTACAAAGGGCCAGCAGAGTATTCTGTCAGAAGCTAGGGTGAGAGTAACTATGGGAAAAGGAAAACAGACTGTGATGTGAGTGGAGTGACAAGAATATCTATTTGGGAAACAAAATTTCACAAACAGGGAATCCAATTGAGAGAAATTTCCAAAAGTCCACATCACCTCAATTCTTTGAGGAAACCCTATAGGCCAACTCCAGAGTGTCTTCTTGTAATCTAGAACCAGAAAGAAACATTTCCTCTCAAGTCAGAGCAATGTCACATTGAGAGCCTGGTCCCCTCTCCCATACACCCCTATCTGGAGACAAGAGGGAAGGAAACAGCTCTGTGGTTTTGGGGCTAAGGGTAGGGAATGGGGCTTTTAGACAGTTGTGTCCTTAATGACTGAAGGATTCTGGCCTATCTGTGCTTCTAGAAAGGGGAGGAACGGGCAATGTCTGCACGAAGTACACAGTTTTCCAGAGTGCTGGTGAGTGGGTTCTCCATAATCTGACTGAATGGTGGAGCCAACTGAGACACATTCGTTTTCTAAATCACTCAGACTACTCAAAAGCAAACAAACAGCAAAAAACAAACAAAAAATCCACATTGCTTGTGCCTATAATACTTGCTTGCTCAGAGTATAAACAAACTTTACTTGAATTAAGTGGAATAAATCCACATGAGGCACAGACCCAAAGAGTCCCAGTTTATATTTTCAAGCAAAGAAGACAGACTTGCAGGCAGCCAACCTGTTGGTGCAAAATATAAGCATATACTCATCAAGTCACTTCTGCAACTAACACCCTAGTCCTTTCCTCAAATAGTATTTTTTATGCATGACTAAACATGAGCAACCAGATCTAACCAAGCTGACGTTCCTCCATGACCAGATGTAGTGTTTGAAAATATCGTTCCTTAATGTAGCCCCAAATCGTCTTTCAGTTGATTGGTGACCCAGAACTGAAGAGTCCAGGAAACTTTTCTGTAAAGGCAGGTTGTTTGGAACTTGTTATTTTCTGCCGCACCAGCTGAGATTCTTTACAACAAACAGGGCACTAACGCAGAGTCAGTGAGAATGTTCAACCTTCCTTACATACTCTAGAGAACAGGCCAAAATAGATATGATCCTAAGTTAAGATGGCAGTAAATCCATCCTTTGTAAAAAGATGGAAGCCAATGGCCCCTGATGACAGTGCAGGGTTGCCTTCAGTTTAAAGTGGGTTGTTAATGTCGTTGCCTGGAGCTGACCTTTTTGTCTTTAGGATAAGGCAGAAAAGCATAAAAATAAGAATGTTGCTTTTGAAAAAGAAAACCTGAAAACATAGCCTCAGTTGGTAACTATATTTGGAGAAGAAGGAAAGCCGGTGCGTTTTTAATGGAAAAACGTAACGACCAGGCCTCTTGACCATCGCCTTCGCTTTGCAAATCTGGTTTTCATATTCCTGCTCAGTAATCACCCAAAGCCATAACTGTCTCTGAAATTATTCATTAAAGTCACTTTCAGGGATTCTAACAGGATGACTCTTTTACGTTTATGATCTTGCAAGAGCAATGACATCAGCCTCTGTCTCTTTTCCTCTTTTAATTAATATGCTGCGAAGACGTGAGGGGCCGTGGCCGTGTGCGTGGGAAGGGGGCGGGCTCGGGTGGGATCCGCCGGCCCCGGTGCTCCCGGCGCGGTCAGCTGAGCTCAGGCGCTCAGACATCCTTTGATTAAGGAGGGTATTTCGGGGAATGCAGGCTGTGCAGAAGATCACGGCTGTGCCCTGTGGTGCTGTCAGTAGTGACAGATCCCAGATGGGGCCGCTACTGTATGGCAGATTGAGTTTCTCAGCAGAAAACTCACCCTCCCTCCTAAACGTCTTCAAAAACCTTCTGCAGATACTCCAGGTCTCTTCGTGTGAAACTGAAAAAGTCTAACTCCAAAGTTAGTTGTGAGTGCATGTGTGTGTGTGTTACGTGTTTTTTTTCTTCCTTCCTCTTTTTTTTCTCTGCATTTCCTCCTCCTCGGAGCATCTTCGACCCTCAGGGCTACCTGGCTGCTAATAGCGTAGATGTGGCGAGCCTTGGGGGGTTCCTGTTCGCCTAGCTCACAGCGCCACGCCGGCGACACAGCGCCGAAGGGCCCCGAAGGCAATACCGTGGGTAGGGGCGCGGTCGACGGGACGTGGGGGCAATTCCAGCGTACCCCGGGAAAACCAGGGTGGACCGCACGGGCCGCACACTCTTGTGCAGAGAAGGGGAGATGCTGGCGGTATGCGGGGAGCAGGGGAGCTGTTGGGTGGGGTGGGGGGAGGACACAAAGACGGAAGCAGAGAATACCTTGGCCTGGCTCCAGACCCTGCTCCCGCCAGCCATCCGTCTCTGCCCCGCTGAGCGTGGATCCGACAGCCTGGGCACTTTTGAACCGCAACGAAACTGAAAAAGTCCAACTCCAAAGTTGATTTTGAGTGCGTGTGCGTCTGTTAGGGAGGCCAAAAAGGGGGCGCGGGCTGACTGCTGAGATTGGGAAACGGTGAAGGCGGGTCCCAGATGCAGCCGGGGTTCTGCAGAGTCTGGAATGGGGAGAAGGGGGACTGCGGAAGTCCAGACTGCGGCCCAAGCCTGAAAGCTGGACTGAGGCCTCTCCAAGGAGAGAGCGGCGCCCAGAGACCCGGTTTCTATATAATAAGAATTCTCCCACTTGGAGTTTGCTAGTCTGGGTCCCGATTTTCGCATTCCTGAACAAACTGTGTGTTGGAAACTCTGCTGCAGAAACATTTGGACTTATTTTAAACCTTTATTTTAAAAAATCAGTAACTTTAAATAAATATCCTGGGGTCCCTGCCTCCCTGGAGACCATCGAGATCCCTCCATTCCCCTTGCCCCCCACCCTAGGTATCCAACACTGGCTCCCGGGAAGCAGCCGCGGCCTGGAGAGAGGCGGAAAGGCAGAGAGGAAGGTGCGCCGCACCCAGTTTCCGAGCTCATTTCCAGGCCCCACCCATTCCTGCCCTCGCGGTCCTCTTAAACTGTGGAACTTGGCACGTTCCTGCGGGCGGAAAAAAAACGAGAGCACAGAAGAAAGGGAGCCCAGAGAGCGCGAATATTGTTTTAACATAAAGATAAGCAATTTCTTTTTTCTTCGAGATACTGGTGCAGCCTCCTCCACCCTACTCCCACAGCCCTTGGGGCAAGGGCAGCTTGCAGAGCCTCTGTTTGGCTTACAAAAGAGCCTCTGGGGAGCAGAGAGAAAGCTAAAAATACCTCCGACGCTAGACCCGTGGTCTGGGAGGAGCTCCTCACTTGCTCTGCTCCGGCCCTGCCCAGGAGGGCACTTTCGCCCTTTCCACTCCGAGGGCCGGGCGGGCGAGGCTAGGGACCCACACTAGTTTTGCCTTCACTTTGCGACCAGACCCGGGGTCTTTTGTGGCCATGCCGGTTACTCTTAGTTAAGAAGACCCCCAATCCAATCTCTGGTAAAATCAGATGCCACACTTTTGATGCTTTCCAATAAGCCCCCTCCACAGACTCAGTTTTTAAAAAGAAAAGAGGTGGGATCACTAGGCCTCATTTTATACCAGAAACAGTCCGGTCACGCAAGGATTCTTCTCAGGTTTGTGTGATGCGCTGTGTGGATATACGCAGTTACTTGCAGAACCGGTGAACCCCTTATTTCAGCCGTCTCCAGGAAAAAAAATAATTACTGCCCTCTCATTTTTCCCTTGGCTATCCGTAAAAACGCAAAACTCTGTATAAAGGCAAAACACACAGTGCATTTCAAAACTCCCGCTCGCCCCCTCTGGAAGGCAGCTTTTCTTTTCACTGCCCATGCTGGATAAGAGTGGTTTATTTTTATTTTTTTTTCTTGTACCCACATGCCTTGTAAAAGGTTCCTGTGCACGGGCCTGGCCCCCCTCTGATGACCGCAGGGCCTTGCTTCCAGACTGCAGTCCCCGCCACTTGGTTTTTAAGTCCTCGCCTGGAGCCGAGGTGTAATTGTGACCCCGCCCGAGCCCCGAGCCTCCCGGGGGGACGGCTGGCCCTGCCTGCGCTGGGGCCGGGACCTCCCAAGTGGCGGCCTGGGCGCCCGGAGCCGCGTGGTCCTCTGCTTCCCTGCCTCCTCCCTCTCTCCCTCCCCTGCAGATTTTGCTCGTTTCCCCCTCGTTTCCCCAGCTTGCTACGCGCTATGCCGCTCAGAATTTCTCTCTACTTTTTTTACTTTCTCTTCTCTTCTCCTTTCTAGCACCTTATTACCGCTCTCTCGGCCGTCTTCACGTTGAGATCCCGGGCTCAGAGAAGCGAAGTGGGGCTTTGTCGAAATATGGGGGGAAGAACTGGGAGCCTCTGGCCCCCTCGGCGCCGCGGTGGAGTCGGACCCGGCGAGCCTCTGCGTAACGTCAGCGCGCGGGGTAATTTACCTTCCCTGGGCGTCTGTCAATATGACTAATTTCCACAGGGGTCAAAAAGCCTTTCTCCGGCAGTCCATCTTGGAACGCTCTCTTACGCAGTAGACGGGGTTGGTTGTTTTGTTTCCAGCCCTAGAAATAAATACTCTTGGGGCGTCCCTGCCAGGGCAGCCTGAGAGGAGCAGAGGAATATACATGGTGTCAATTAAAGTCAGTTTTCCTTGAACTATGAACTATGATTGGGCGTAAACGAGAGCGACCTGCTTGCCTGTTAATACACATTTCCTAACTCGTCCTTGATACCAATGCTTTCTTTAGAAACAGAAAATCAAAAAGGAGGAAAATAATCATTGCTCCAGTTCTTCTCTGCCGCTTGCAGATGCCTATTGAAATATTTGCTCTGCATTTCAGTGTGTAAATTAAACGTAGAGTATGTGCGCGTGTCTTGCTAATCTGACCTAGACAAACAGTAAATATATTATCCGGGTGGTGTTTTACAATAATTTGAAAACTGCTACCAACTTGTAAGTGTGAATCAGAGCTGTGGAGTTAATTAAACATTCTCTGGGACTCACCAGAAGCGGCTAATTGATGCTGGTAGCATAACCCGGACACACTTTAAGGAGTGCAGGGACGGAAGCCTGCGTGGCTAGCGGGTCAGGACGATTCTGTCTGAAAAGTCCTCTCTTGCATGCAGCAGGGAGTGGGGAGATGAAGAGCACTGGCCCCTGAGGGCACCCAGTTGGGTCCCTTGGGTCTTGGAGGAGGTAAACCTCTCCAATCTGGGGAATTGGGGTCCAGCAAGAAGTGAAAGTCGCCAAATAATCCATTTTTCTCCCACCCAAGTTCAGGCACTGAGGCCCCAACTAATATACTTCTCCGAGTTAAATTTTTAACAAACCCTCTTGAAAAAACACTTCCCCACCCCACTTCTAAAGCAAGTAAATGCCTGGATTTGGAGCAATTCGGAGCCTCAGGGAAACCCACGGAAAACCTAAGAGCTAAGATAACCAAGCAGAAGCCTAGGAAGCCTCACAGAGGGCCGTCTGAACTCTTAGTCCCTGGCTGCTGCCCGCACACGTGGGTGACACACAGCCCCACCACCTCCCCTCACAGCCCGACCTCCTTACCTGCTCTGCCATTCTGGCCACATGCAAGCCCGCGCGCGCACGCTCACATGCACGCACACACACACACACACACACACACCTCTTTCCGTCTCTCATCTGTTAGTGCATTTATGACCTAATGAAAGTATATACTTTAGGGAAAAGACTGTCTATAAAACTTGAAATATGAAGAACCCATTTGGATATTCCCACTCCAGGCCAGGCATGAACTTGAAGTTTTTTAGCACAAACACCTTGACTCCTTCTGTTGCTTCTATAATCACCCTGTTATTTTTACTAAACGATTAGAATTGGTTCTAAGTGACCTCTGCTCATTTCCTGTGGAAGGAGAAAAGTCTCCAACCTGAGAATATATCTTTATTTGTTGGAAGGCATTCTTTAGGGTGAGGGGGGAATTAATTTTATTTTCTATCCTTTGTCATCTTGGAAAAACCCTGACACCATATGTTCCAACTTCTGCAAACAGCTGGGGAAACCAAGGACTCTTTCAACTCCCTTCCATTTCCTTTCTGCCCCACAGTTTCCCCCAGTTGCCACCTTTTTGGGTTTTACAAATGTTAATCCATTCTTTCTGCTGGTGGATTTGTGAAATACCTACAAGTTTCCAACACAAATGAGTGCCCTTTGGAAATTCTATTGTTAACCATCCACCTTTGTGGGAAAAGGCAATCTGATTTTGTGTTTTGGGGAGGGTCTGTTTATTGCCACATATTAATAGAACAGATATTATTTTCCTGTGATTTTATATATAGCATACCTTTAAATAAGACTGTTAAGTCTCTTCTATTTTGCAATTTGACCTTCGCTGTAAGAGTGATTTAAGTTGTTCATTAGCTGGGACTATGCAACAGGAAAAGCTGCAGGAGAAATAAACAAAAGAATGAGCTGAAGAGCTCTGTCCTTTGGTGGAACTGATTTGTTTATTTGCATATTTCTTGAAAGGGAAAACAGTTCTAGCTTAAAGTCTTTTGGCATCCAGGAGCCATTTAATGACCTGTGGGTAGAGGGGGTCGATTGTTCAACACCCTGCTGAGCTGATCCCTTTGTTTCTGAGTTTACATCATGAAAGGAGTTTACATCATTACTCCTCCTTGTTTCATTTAGACTTAAAGTTTCAATAGTAACAAGAACTTTTACACCTAGGGAATGCCTTGGGAAGCGGGCAAAGTGCTCAGTCTGCGCAGGTGTAAGAGGATGTGCATGAAGGGCAGTGCTCTGAGAGGCAGCCATTTCTAGGGGAAAAGGTCTTGTCCTCCTTGTAACAACAACAACAAAAAAAGCTATTTTCAAACCTCTATTAGACAACACCAATCTTTCTTTTTAACTGTGTTCTAGCTTGGCCTTTCCACTTGGGACCGAGGGCTCAGCCAGTTCTCCAAGTCTATGACCCTAGCCCTTAACTGTAGGAGCAAATGGCTTTAAACTGACAAGCCTCCCCATTTGGGAAGATGAGGATGGAGAGGAATAGTGTGCATTTTATGCCTTACCTAAGATTTTATACTTCTGTGAACAAATATTATCTTCTAGTCTGATTTTCAGCTTATGACCCATTGAGCAAAGCAGAAAGTTGTTGCATGTTCTTCAATCCTGTATCTTCAGTAGGTAACATCCTCCTCAATATGTGGCATTATGTGTAAATATATTTAGCAACTAGCCTCTCATATATATTCTAATCAGATTAATTTTTCATAAACAGGTAGTAATTCACATGGTTTAAAAATACACACAATGTACATGTGGAAAGTCTCTCCAGTTGCCTCATCACTGTGATTTATTTCTTATGCCTCTTCTCAGAGCTTCCTAATGAGTAGAAAAGCAAATATCATCTCTATGAGACAGGAGTGGGGAGAAGCCCGAAATGTAAGAAAAGAAATTTTTGGTATACATGAAAGACATGGATACTTAGCAACTCTCTCTCCTGGCACTCAACTGCACACACAGAGAAAGTCATGGCTGTACAATAATGCCTATAGAATTCTAGAATAATGCAGGCTGCTCCAGTTGTATCTGTTCTACTGATACGGGGAGAGAAGAAGGAAGGTGTCCAGGAAGCTTTGAAGAGCCTCATATCAAATACAATTTGGGCAAGGTGTGAGATTCCACCTGACTATAATTTCAAATATCTGGGAATGAGAAGATGGGGCACATGTGAAATTATTAATCCCGTAGAGCTCCAAATGAATTGTCTTTTCTCTGTACCTGAGGAACCAGAATAAGAAAAAAGGGAGAAAGAAGTAAAAGAAGCAAGTAGGAAGAGTGAGATCAAATTCTGTCTAGAGTTGTGGGAATGTGGCCCCTCATTTTTTGTGTGTGTCCCCTCTCTCCAACTCAAACTGAAAAGGTCTAAATTGTTCTGCATCATATAAGTAACTCATAAACTTTCTCCTATTGTAAGAGAGGTTGTTTTGCCATGTCCTAGTCCATAGATTGTTTATATGGGTTATAATGGAAGGAGGTGGGGGATTGGGAAATACACATTTATCATAAAACAATTGAGACAAATTTTGCACTATAATAACTATGTATACACTTGATAGACCCCAGACGTTTTGCCCTTTACAGTTCAAAAAGTCATGAAGGTAAATCATTCCCTACACAGAGCAGGTGACACCTTCATTTATATCAGTGTGGCCCATGGAGAGGCTGAGGGCTCTTGCTCCCCAAGTCTAATACAGACAATGACTGACCTTGACTATCCTCCATCTAGGAGTTAGATATGGATGGAGAAGAAGATACACCTTGTAGAGAAAGTGCCATGCACAGGCTTCCTTGACAGGGATGGGGGCAGTTCTGCTTTCTGAGATGCTCTGTGACTTGTGGTACCTGGTCAGAATTACAGTTAAGTTGGATCAAGCCCATGCTTCCCCCCATCCCCCAACGCTCCTTCCCTTATCCTTGTAAATCCTGATGAAAGCATGCATTTTCAGCTTCTAGATGGACTACAGCCATGACTTTCTCTGTGTGTACAGTTGAGTGCCACAAGAGAGGGTTGCTAAGTATCCATGTCTTCCATGCATACCAAAAGTTTCTCTTCTTTCATGTTGGGCTTCTCCGCACTCCTGTCTCATAATAATATAAGATGCAGTAATAACAAAAGCTTACTGTTGATTCTCGTTTCCTCTGAACAGATATTTTTTCCCTGCCCCTCTTAGGGACCTACTACTAGGTTTCAGCTTTAGTTACTGAGGTTAAGCCATCCGATGAAAGGAGTTAGCTTTCATATCACCCACCTTATTGGCCTAATAAGGGCAATAAGGCATCTGCTGGGTGAAACAGGACCAAAGGGCATCTGCTGGGTGAAAAGAACCCCAAACCCTCTGCCCCCTGCATCCCTGGAGCTGTTCATCAGACTGGAAGCCAAAGGCCCACATAACTCTAATTAATGTGTACATATGTTGGCCAGTCTTTTGGCCGATTTTAGCATTAGTGCTCGAATTGGCAGGGTCAGAGAGTCTGGCGCTTGTGTCTGATGAGGACTTACAGTCCTAATGAATCATGTGACCATGAGTGGACTTGGGTATCAGCTGTGTTCAGGAGACCTGCCTCTCTGCCTCTTGTACTTTCCACCCCGAGGGTCTCTTTCTGTTCCCAAAAAGGATTGCTCATCTGGGTGGAACCAACCAAAGAAGGAGGGCACCCTTAGAAGTTTAAACTGTCCTCCTCATCTGCATCTCTGCATAGAACATTACTAAGTCAAGTGTATAGATATATACATATATATATATATATACACACATACACACAGGAATATAAAAGAAATTTTTTTTCTTGAAAGTTGAATTTAAGCCTGGAAATGGGCCTTTAGCGTCCATCTGCTTTAACCTCTTTTTTTTACAGATAAGATGACTCAGGTCTAAAGATCCAAAGATGCTCTTGGTACCTGGCCCGCCAGCATGTAGCTCTCATTCAAGAAATTGGGGGCAGGGTGGAGGTTTCCTCTCCCCTCCTTAGGCAATTACTTCCAGGGATCACTTGTTTAAGAAAGATAAAGGCACAAATAAAGAACAAGTTGCATCAGAAAATGTTTTGCAGAAAAAGAAAAAACCGGTGTAGAAGGTAGGCCAGGCAAGAAAAAGAAGTAGCCAGACAAATGACATCTGGGGCCGGTTAATTGAACAGACCTATCTCCACCACTTCCTGAAAGTCTCCACTCCGAGACTGCTATTAAATGCTGATGTTTTCCACCGGGTGTGGTGGCTCACGCCTATAATCCCAGCACTTTGGGAGACTGAAGTGGGCAAATCATTTGAGGTCAGGCGTTCACGACCATCCTGGCCAACATGGTGAAACCCCCTCTCTACTAAAAATACAAAAATTAGCTGGGGGTGGTGGTGGCTTGCGCCTGTTAATCCCAGCTACTAGGGAGGCTGAGGCAGGAGAGTCGCTTGAACCCGGAGGCGGAGGTTGCAGTGAGACGAGATTGTGCCACTGCACTCCAGCCTGGGTGACAGAGTGAGACTACGTTTCAAAAAAAGAAGAAGCTGGCCTGGCGCGGTGGCTCAAGCCTGTAATCCCAGCACTTTGGGAGGCCGAAGCGGGTGGATCACGAGGTCAAGAGATCGAGACCATCCTGGTCAACACGGTGAAACCCCCGTCTCTACTAAAAATACAAAAAATTAGCTGGGCATGGTGGCGCGTGCCTATAATCCCAGCTACTCAGGAGGCTGAGGCAGGAGAATTGCCAGAACCCAGGAGGCGGAGGTTGCAGTGAGCCGAGATCGCGCCATTGCACTCCAGCCTGGGTAACAAGAGTGAAACTCCGTCTCAAAAAAAAAAAAAAAAAAAAGAAAGAAAAAGAAAAAGAAAGAAGGAAAAAAAAAAAAAAAAAAAAAAGGGAAGAAGAAGCTGATGTTTGCAGTCCACATACTTTGTCTTGGTTCTTTTTTCTAAGCCAGCCCAGGAGAACAGATTCTTCTCTGCTGAGGAGAGGCACGGTGTTTCCAAAAGCGCAGCAGCTGTCATCAAAAGTGCTTGTAGATCTGGTGGCAACATGGACAGGCACTTTGCTTGGATCCTGGACATTATCGACGGCGGAGGCAGGACGGAGGACAACTAGGTCTTCCGGTTACCGGGTGGGGTACCGGGTTTTAGCGCGCTAAGTCGCTGGGCCAGAGAGAGGCTATATCCCGACTAGCGTGGATTCACAGGGAATCGCAGTGGGAGTGAAGTTGCTAGATCACCACACTGGAGAGAAGACTGCAGAAGAAGAGAAACTACTCGCTCGAAATAGGGCTTCTGGATCTCTATAGGGCCACGCCGTCCCTCTGCAAGGCGCCAAGTCCGGTCCGGTCCCCTGACAGAGCTACTTGGATGTGCCTACCTACTTGTGGCGGGGTAGGCGCCAAAGTGGCTCTTTTGCATTCGTTCTCACATATATATGCAGATATATACATATATGTTTTGGGGCTGGGTTTTAGTGAGGTTGAAGTTGCCCGGGTGTACTGGCTGGACACAGTTGTTTCGGGAGCCATCGGCTGGCTGTCTTTCCTTAGGCGTTAGAAACAGAACAGGACAAAACCTGAAATCAGCGAAACAAACCAAACCACAGCCCCCCCACAAGCCGTCCTTCTATTGCTGGGGAGCCGCGTTCTGGCTTCAGTACTCAGGTTCGAAATTTGAATAAATGGAGCCAGATCCTGGATTACACCCCCGGGACAGCGTTTTAATGTAAATGTAAAATATGCTAGTAATAATCACTTGTGGGCCCTGAAGCGCCATTAGAATCTCTGTTTAATTATAGGGCATGAGAGAAGCATTACCAGCTAATTAAATCAATCCTATTTGTAATTCTCCCTCTGCTGCTGCCGACTTTAAAATGTGAAACTGCTTTTTAAATGGGCCCGCATATGAATTTTTAAAACACAAGTGAACTAAAGTAAGAAGCAGGGGAAAAGAGAGTGAGAAAGAGAAGGAAGGAGACGCAGGCCCTGGGCCCGAGTCAAGAGGCATGTGGATGAATCTCCCCGGCCGCCTAGGCGTCCTCGCCTTCCAGCCGGCGCCCTCACTTTGGCTCGAAAAAGAGGCCGTTTCCTCTCCTACCAGAGGTTTCCACTTCCTCCTATGGAATCTCTTTCAGCTCCTGGACATCTCCCCGCAGACCGGCCCTGGGGAGGAGAGAGGCGCTGAGCATTCCCGCGCGCCCCGCTGCAGCCGCGCCGCCTGGGAGCCGGTTCCGGCCGACGGAAGGGAGCGGCGCGGGGAGGAAGTGAGCTCACTCGGGAAGGAAGGAAAGAAATGAGGTTTTTGCCTGGCAGCTGCCAACCCGAGGCTCACAGCCCCGGGGAGAGGCTGCGAGCGCAGGTCCCACCGCCGCCCTCCACAGAGGCCGGGGACAGAGGCTGGCTTTGCTAGGCGCTGCGGCCGCCGCCACCAACTCCATCTCTTCCCGCGCATTCTGTCCTTCGTGCTCCCGGGGAGGAGGAGCGCCAGGCTCCACTCGCGAGGTTCAGCCTCGAGGACAGAAGTGGGAGGCTCGGAGCGCGCGAGGGCTTCATTCAGGCCTGTGCCGCCTCCCGTCCCCACGCGTCCCATCCTTCCCGCGTGGGAGATTTCGCTTCGGACGTTCCCGCACGCGCGCGCGCCAGCCTCTCTTCTTTCTCCAGTGCCCCTAGCAAAAGCAGGCCCTCGAGCTTTGATTTACGATTAGAGCGTTCAGTGATTTTCACGAAAAAACAAGAGGGAGGACGGCCACCTTTCTGGACTCCTCCTCAGTACTTGTGAAGTGGAATAATATGCGGGGAATATGGGGTGTCTCCAAACCTGGCACCCTCTGCACCGCTGCAACCAGTCGGCTGTACCGCACCCGGCTGCTCCAGTGCAGTCTGGGCTACGGAAATACTCTAAAGAAGAGGGAAGCTGGCTATCTCCCCTCGGCACCCGGCCCTGCACGCAGAAACTGTGAGAGTGTAAGGACCAGGTTTTCCAAACTGACCACGCCGCCCAACAAATGTAGCGGCACTTATCCCAAGAGAAGGCATTCCCACTTCGGCCTCCTGGGCCGCGAGTGCTTCTCCTAGTGATTCGGCCCAGGATACTGAGTGGTCACTTGGCGGCGGCAGAGGGCCTTCAAGTCTGGCATGAGGCAGGGATGTCCAGAACTTATCCTGGGGCAGGGTGGGTAGGAGGTGGGGAAATGTAATTCTCCCCCGCACTGCTGGAGACCCGGGCGGGCGGCCTTCTCTAGTGAGTTTCAGAGGGTCCCTGCCCTCACCTGAGAAGAAGTCACTTGGGCACCCACCTACCGTGGTGGCCAGGACTGGGGCGGGAGCTGTGGTCTGGCTCCATCTGTGTCAGGCCTATGGTTTGGGCGTCTTTCGACTAAGGACCAAAGAGGTCCGGAAGATGGAAAAGTCCAAGCCCCTCCATGTGCGTTGGCGGTGGGGTAGGGGGTTATTGTCAGGCCGCGAGGCAGGGCGCTTGTGTGCAGGACACAGTGTGGGCATTTTGTCAGATTTGTAGCTCTCGATCCGGAGCCATCAATCTAGAACCTTGGCGTTTCTCCCCCACCTCCATCTCCTGCACAAGCTCCCACGTACCTCTTTGTCATCTCTTCCCTTCATAAAATTAGTGAAGTCTTGTTCTCCATCTGACTTTCAACAAGATCGCTATTTTTTGTCTTCAAGCCTTGCTCTGAACATTTAGGCGGGAGGAGGGGGCGTTCTAGGAAGCCGTCTCGTGTCAACTTTAGCAGCCAGGAGGAGGGAGTCGACAGGGCTTTTCTCAGGCTTTTCCCGTGCACTGCCAGCCTGACCCCACCCCACTCTGGTCTTGTCAGGGCGGACCGCACCCTCCACCCATCTCCCCATCCCCGGCATTCCCTCTGCAGTCCTCAGCCAGCAGCGGCTCCTCCCGGCGCGGCACTCGGGGCCGCAGGGATTCTGGCCTTCCAGGCCGGCCAGCGGAGGGCCTCCCTGCCTGCCTTGGAAACTCTCCATTTTCCCACAGTATTTCACGTTCATATTACTTTTCACACCCTGTTAGGCAGTAATAGCACTGAACCTGCTAAATACTTCCATGCACCCAGCCAGCCCTCCCGCGACTGCTTCGGATGGTCTGTGATACAAAAGAGATTGCGCTCTCATCCTGCGGAGTCGTCGGCTTCTCTTCTCTCCTCCAATCGGCCTCCAGAGCCTAGTAAGGTGGTTCTGGTAGTGGCGGCTCAGGTGTAGAGGAGGTCTTAGCACTTCCTTTCAAGCTTGTGGGGGAGATGTGGGAAGAAAGAGCTTGCCGGCAGATCTGGCTTTTGATACTAGTGTCAAGTTAGATTGGCTATTAAAATAAATAAATAAATACAGGGTCAGGCCGGGCGCGATGGATCACGCCCGTAATCACAACACGTTGGGAAGCCGAGGCAAGCAGAACTCCTGTGGTCAGGAAGTTCAAGACCAGCTGGCCAACATGGCGAAACCCTGCCTCTACTATAAATACAAAAAAGAGCTGGCTGTGGTGGCGGGCGCCTGTAATCCCAGCTACTCCGGAGGCTGAGGCAGGAGAATGGCTTGAACCCGGGAGCCGGACGTTGCAGTGAGCGGAGGTTGCAGTGAGCAGAGATTGCCCTCACTGCACTCCAGCCTGGGCGACAGAGAGAGACTCTGTCTAAAAAAAGGGGATGGGGGGACATGTTCATTCTTAATTAGCACCATCTCGCGGCCTTATTTTCTTGGCACCGGACCGGATGAGTAGTGATTTGGGCACGAGGCTGCTGGGGGCAATGCCTCACGCTCTTCTGGCCGCAGCAGCTCTGAAAGCTCCGGGTTGCTCGGTTAAAACGGGTTGCGGGAGGGGGATTGAGAGTCCTGCTCAGAGTTGGGTTTGACGACGGCTTCAGCGCGGCCAGGGAGAAGCCACGGTTCCCAGCGTCTGAACTCGAGTCACTCGCTCCCAGTCCATGGAGGTGGAATTCTCAGAGACCCCACTTACCGTGGACCGGACTAGACACCGCGGTCCCGGGAGACGCTGCCGAGAAAGCCCGTGAGTCCGCCAGCATAACAGGACTGACGGTGGCCCTGGGGCTTCAAACCCGAGAAGTGAAAGGAAGTTGGGGGTGGTCCTCCGTGGCTCCTCCACAACTCCCCCCCCACCTCAGTTCTGCCATCAGGAACAAGAGAAGTAATAAAATCTGCCCGCCCCCTGCCCCCAGGACGCGGGGGAAGGAACTGACTTTTAATGATTGCCTGTTAAGTACTGATCATTTTACAGGCTGCCTAATGTTTAATCTTCACAAACTGTAACAAGGGCATTTCCGAACTCGGTGCCTACAAGAAAATTGAGGCGCAAAGAGGGCAGACCTGGCTGTAGATCTCTGCACCCAAACAAACTCCAGGCCTCAGAGGAGTTGATGAGGCCGCCATTGAGGGGCCCTGCAGCCTGGGTCGTCTCCTGGTAACCTGGCAGAGGGGGCTACGCTGCCCTCCACGAGCCTCTAGCATACACTCCTAGAGGGATTTCAGTGATGAGCAATCCCTTTCTAAGGACTTGAAGCTTTGGGCACTATTTTAAGCGGTAGTGCCTTCATCCCTATTCTGAAACATCCACAGGAAAGTCAGTTACCAGGACTCTCTTAATCAACCAGAGGAGTCCAGAGTCTACCACACATGTGTCCCTCAAGTATCACCTTTCTTGCCCCACCTCACCAGGGTTTGAGATTTAAACTGAAAATCATTGGACTTCAGTTTCAGCTCACAAACTCTAAACTGAGCCCAGAGCTCCCCCTTCAGCCCGGGCAGGGACAACACAGGCTTAGAAGCACCGGGAAGCCTAGGAGAGGATTAACTTTGTTCCTAACTTCCAGGTGCCAACTCAGCCATTTCTCCACCGGTCAGAGGTTTATTTACTGAGCAGAAAGGACCACCCACCCCTAGGCTGGGAAATAACAAAGTGGGGGCTCTGGAAACCCACGTGCTAACCTTTGAAAGTGAAGCTCCAGGAGCTCCACCTCCCAAACGTTGTTATTTTTTCCTCCAACTCCAACTCCGACTCCCAGCCTTTGCTTCGGGTGTTGTGGCCTTCTTTCTCATCTAGAGAGGCTGTCCGATGACTGCTTGCTTACACTCTAGAGAGGATGCTTTAAGTTACGGATTCGAACATTTTGCAGAAAATAGGAGGAATACTATAGAACAGGCAAAGCTAGGAAGCAAGGAAAGAGTGTCTGGGGCCTGTGGCAAGGGGCCGTTGTGGTTTGGGAGTTGATGGGCAGACTTTTCCCCCTATTTCTTCTGCAAAGACACAATTCCAGCACAGAGCTTCTCCACTGTCCAGCTACTCTCCCTTTTCCTTTTTTCTTCACTCTCCCGATATACTGATGGCTGAACAAGAAGAATCAGAAGAGGAACCCCACATCCCTGTCTTTTGGGCCATCAGTCATACAGGGCACTGACTCCAGGTGGGCATTAAGGACAAAGTGTTGTTAAAGAGTCCTGGAAGCCACACGCATGCCCGCTGAGCCATCTATTTTCCTTTGGATGTGGAAGTGATATTCTGGGAAGTATCAGGTGCATTTCCTGGGGTTTTGGGCCTCTGGGCCCTAATTGTCCCTGGTGGAGGGGGCAATTCTCAAGTTGGAGGTGGCTAAATAAGTGGTGATTTAATGGGACTTTTTAACCCCCACAAGGGTTAATTCATTTTACGGTTGTTACAGTGACAGAGGAGAGACTATGGTGATTTCTCATCTTCAGTTACAGTTATTGATTGTCTAACTCAGTGGTGAAAATCAAGGCTGACAGACAAATGAAAACCAAATTCAGAAAGTGGTACTGCATTCATGCATTTTTCTCTCCTCTATCTTCCTCTGCCGTGGTTTCTGCTGCTAGCTGTGGCTGGGGACCACATTCCACCTTAGGAACCCCTAGAGGAAAAGGCTGACCCCACCGGGCCATGGGGTTGGAATTAGGCTGCCAATGCGAATTAACTCAGTTTTTCTTCCTCTGAGAAGGATGGCGTTGACCTGGCAGTGACATCTCCTCTCCTGGCAGGGGATTCCAGCAGTCTGGCAATTACTTTAAAAATCAAGAATTTCAAGAAAGAAATTAAAAGATACAGCAGGAAAAAGAATAAAAATAATCACGCAAAAAATTTGAAGGGCATTTGATATTTTGCAGCAGCCATAGATAAAACTACTTGTCTCCATTACACTGGATTTCTCCACGTTGTTTCTAGAATCTATTTCCTTTATTCAATATTGCTGAG